ACAAGATAATGCCCGACCACATGTTGCAAGAGTCACAATAGACTTCTTTCAACATAATGATGTCACATTGTTACCATGGCCACCAAGATCTCCCGACTTATCCCCAATTGAGCACGTGTGGGATATGATGGGTAGGAGATTGCTCAATTTGCAACGTCCTCCTCAGACTCTAGAAGCACTTCGAGAGGAGTTGGTGGTTGCCTGGAATGAGATACCACATGAGGATATTGACCACCTGATCAGAAGCATGCCTAGGCGCGTTGGAGAATGCGTAGCACATCAGGGTGCATCCACACATTATTAAAGGTCAAAGGGCTTTAAAGCAGTGCAATCATTTTGAAATTTTTATCATTTACTTATTATGCTTCATTAAGTACTTATACAAAATTTTATTAAATAAAACCATTTAAAGTATGTTGTTTGAAGAGGTTAGTTTCTCATAGATGGCGCTGTCGTAGTCACCTGTACGCTTGTATATGCTCATATAGACAGCGCCATCTGTGAACCTTTTCACAGAAACAGCTGTGATACATTCTGATTCTCGGATAATTTTTTGGACTTTCGTGCGCGGGACTTTAGCATTAAGTTATCTATCTTCAGGTAGAAAACGTTGGTCAAATGAATCGAGTTTATAAAGCAATAAACACACTATAGAGCGATATCTGTTTGGAGAACTGAGAAACTCATCCTTATGGTGATAAAGTTATATTTCTCATATTTTCTAATTTTGCATGTCTGCGAGTCCCACTTTAGGATGCAACCAGATGTCAAGCCGCGTCGTTCAAACGTTTATTGCGTTTCGCTCGCGACCATAAATCCTTAAATCCGTTTGTTATTAAACGAAATCGTCCTGGTACACAATCAGCGCAGAAACCAGCTGCGGAATAAGGAACGAGGATAGAGACGGCCGCATTTTTATGAAATACGTTTTTCAACGCGTACACTTAAGAACGAGTACGGTGCGCTTCGGCACTGCTGACATAATTTTTTAATGGATTTGCGTTAGTATGTGCCAGATGATGTATAAATTATGCAATTGATTACATTTTAATGAGAATCCTGAATTGATATTGTGAAGCGTTATTGATTGGTTTATTACGATGACCTACTTATCTCTCTTGTACGAGTTATAAAATATACTAAGTGACATATAAATCCGAACACCCAGTTTAAATGTTTTTATTTTAATAAAAGTTGGTGGATGTATTTATCTTACTGTGAATAACAAGTGAAAAAATTTTCAGCCTTATCAGTTGGACATTCCGGTTTTTATACTGCTTTTTTTTTAATTCACTAACGCTCTAAAAATGAATATTTCAGCCGCAGTAAAGAATCAACGTTGGCGGATTTTGGTTCTTGACATACTTTACGATCGGTTACGATGCCTAGAGTACGGAGACCTGTACGATTTCGTCAACTTAGTGAGTTTGATAGGGGCCGTATAGTGGGACTTCGGGAAGCTGGACTTTCTTTTCGGGCAATTGCAGTTAGAGTGCAAAGAAGTGTAGACACTGTGGTTAGGTGTTGTCAGGCATGGCCGTACGCAAAGAGCAAGGGGCACTGGACGCCGCCGTAGAACAACGGACCGTGAAGATCGCCGCCTAAGATCATTGGCCTTAAGGGACCGTTTCTCCACTACCAGGTCGATTGCAAATGAATGGTTTGCAGAACACGGAAGACCTATTGGCATGCGAAGTGTTTACCGACGAATGAGAAGTTTTGGCTTGTTTTCATACCGGCCACACTGGGTCCTCCCTTTAACTCGAGAACACCGACGTAATCGCCTTGAGTGGTGCAGACAACGGTCACTCTGGGATCAGGAATGGAACAGTATTGTCTTTCGTGACGAGTATCGATTTTGTTTAGGCATGCACGATGGTCGTGCCAGGGTTAGAAGGCGACGTGGTGAAAGGAGGAATCCACTGTTTTTTGTTGAAAGACATGTTCATCACACCGCGCAGCGTTATATCCACGAAGTTCTAGAACCCCATCTTTTACCCTATCTTGACACCCTGGCAGATCCAACTTTCCAACAAGATAATGCCCGACCACACGTTGCAAGAGTCACAATAGACTTCTTTCAACATAATGATGTCACATTGTTACCATGGCCACCAAGATCTCCCGACTTATCTCCAATTGAGCACGTGTGGGATATGATGGGTAGGAGATTGCTCAATTTGCAACGTCCTCCTCAGACTCTAGAAGCACTTCGAGAGGAGTTGGTGGTTGCCTGGAATGAAACACCACAGGAGGACATTGACCACCTGATCAGAAGCATGCCTAGGCGCGTTGGAGAATGCGTAGCACATCAGGGTGCATCCACACATTATTAAAGGTCAAAGGGCTTTAAAGCAGTGCAATGATTTTGAAATTTTTATCATTTACTTATTATGCTTCATTAAGTACTTATACAAAATTTTATTAAAATAAAACCATTTAAACTGGGTGTTCGGATTTATATGTCACTGGAATAAGCTTTATTTCCATTTGAGTACAAAGTAGTATCGGAAAATAGTCATACATATGAGCATAAACAAGCACAAAATAAAACAGTTTGGAATAACGCATAAAACAATTATTAACGGATGCAATTTTGAAAAAAAAAATAAAAAATTACCGATGCTGAACTGTGATTTCTTATTGATCTGTGGATCGTATAGATCGAGAACATTTTTTTTACTGACCTAAAACGTCAAAAATTGAAGAAGATCAGCAAAAATACGGTTTTTTCCATTTGCCAATGGAACCTGAAGAAACGCACAAAAATATATATGCACATTGGGTTTTTGAGTCATCCAAGTAATAATATTCTACTCTAAAAATGTCATCGATCAGGAGAAACCGTTGAAAAAATCTGTTTTATCGAATTTTAGCAAATTCCTGGACAAGAAATCGTGATTTCGACAACGAAATATGCAAAGCTTGAAAGACATCCCTTGTACGTCCGTGTATTTTTCTCTATTTTTCAAAAATATTGGATAAGTTTTGATAAAAAATAGGCACCTCGTTAGAAAAAGTCACAGGCTTACAGGTAGTTTCCTATTTTTAAGAGGTTAAGTACTATTAAAGTTTTGAAAACAGGATACAATATTATACTACATCATACAAAAAGTACACGTATCGATATTTTATAGCAAAGTGAGGAAAAAAGATAAAAGTGACACAGTGTGCCTAGGTCCCTACCAGGAGTGAATATTTTGTACCTAGCACACACAAATTGAGTGCTAAAAACGCCCCATTTCTCAATATTGAAACATTACCTACTACTTTGCAAATTTTGGGATGAATACTGTGGTAAATATACTAAGTGACATATAAATCCAATACACCCAGTTTAAATGGTTTTATTTTAATAAAATTTTGTATAAGTACTTAATGAAGCATAATAAGTAAATGATAAAAATTTCAAAATGATTGCACTGCTTTAAAGCCCTTTGACCTTTAATAATGTGTGGATGCACCCTGATGTGCTACGCATTCTCCAACGCGCCTAGGCATGCTTCTGATCAGGTGGTCAATGTCCTCCTGTGGTATCTCATTCCAGGCAACCACCAACTCCTCCCGAAGTGCTTCTAGAGTCTGAGGAGGACGTTGCAAATTGAGCAATCTCCTACCCATCATGTCCCACACGTGCTCAATTGGGGATAAGTCGGGAGATCTTGGTGGCCATGGTAACAATGTGACATCGTTATGTTGAAAGAAGTCTATTGTGACTCTTGCAACATGTGGTCGGGCATTATCTTGTTGGAAAGTTGGATCTGCCTGGGTGTCAAGATAGGGTAAAAGATGGAGTTCTAGAACTTCGTGGATATAACGTTGCGCGTTCATGTTACCTCTGATGAAGATTAAAGGTGACCTGGAACCATAAGCTATAGCACCCTAAACCATAACTCCAACAGTGTGATGAACATGTCTTTCAACAAAAAACTGTGGATTCCTCCTTTCACCATGTCGCCTTCTAACCCTGGCACGACCATCGTGCATGCCTAAACAAAATCGAGACTCGTCACTAAAGACAATACTGTTCCATTCCTGATCCCAGAGTGACCGTTGCCTGCACCACTCAAGGCGATTACGTCGGTGTTCTCGAGTTAAAGGGAGGACCCAGTGTGGCCGGTATGAAAACAAGCCAAAACTTCTCATTCGTCGGTAAACACTTCGCATGCCAATAGGTCTTCCGTGTTCTGCAAACCATTCATTTGCAATGGACCTGGTAGTGGAAAAACGGTCCCTTAAGGCCAATAATCTTAGGCGGCGATCTTCACGGTCTGTTGTTCTACGGCGGCGTCCAGTGCCCCTTGCTCTTTGCGTAGGGCCTTCTCGAAGCCATGCCTGACAACACCTAACCACAGTGTCTACACTTCTTTGCACTCTAACTGCAATTGCCCGAAAAGAAAGTCCAGCTTCCCGAAGTCCCACTATACGGCCCCTATCAAACTCACTAAGTTGACGAAATCGTACAGGTCTCCGTACTCTAGGCATCGTAACCGATCGTAAAGGATGTCAAGAACCAAAATCCGCCAACGTTGATTCTTTACTGCGGCTGAAATATTCATTTTTAGAGCGTTAGTGAATTAAAAAAAAGCAGTATAAAAACCGGAATGTCCAACTGATAAGGCTGAAAATTTTTTCACTTGTTATTTACAGTAAGATAAATACATTCACCAACTTTTATTAAAATAAAACCATTTAAACTGGGTGTTCGGATTTATATGTCACTTAGTATAGTTTTTTCGATTTACATATTCGCTGAGAGGACTAGGAATTACATTTCAGTAAAATTGTATAAGTAAATGTATGGAAAAAGGCCTTTAAATTTTAATTAAACTTGAGGCTAGGATCAAATTCTTCTAGTCTCCTTAATTTTATTTTATACACAAGTCGAAAAAATTGGTTAATTCCCTTTTAGCTACTTGGCACAAAATAAATAATTTACAGATCAGTAGCTGTCAAAATATTTTTGCCCCCGTTCTTTTACGAAAGCTGTAGCTACGTACTTATCTTAAAAATTGTCAAGTCCGCCCAGAACATGATCAGGATTTTGTACCGTAGGCCCCTACCTCTTATATACGCCACTGTCTCAGAAATTATAGCTTGCAATGTGTGCTTTTTGTACCTACAGAAAAAATTAGTTAGTTATTAATTATTATGTCATTAGTCTCACGTTTTGTCAAGAGATGTACGACCCAGTTTGAAACTAATACGACTACTTAAAAGTACGGAGCAATTCCGCTTCTTGACAAATGGCATATCAAAATTCCGCAAATGTACTGATGCGAAGCCCCGATATAAATTACAAAGTAACTAACAGATGCAAGAAGATACACCATGACACTTGATAGTCGATACACGGTTGGTCCGTGTGCCATCGAATCGGATCGGAAATGAGAGCGACGCGATATTCCCAGCTCCAACATAAATCCGGCTGTGGCAGCCGTAGAAATTCCCGAAAACGACAAAGCAACCGTCCCGTGACGTGACAGCTGCGATCCAACGACCGCAAAGCGCTATGCGCGGATGTCTCGGGTGGCTATGACAGTTCAGCTGCGGACGACTCGGACAGCGTTGCCAAACCTGCCGATTTTTCGGTATTTCTACCGAAATACATGTACAGAAAACGTCGTCATTTTTTCAATTACTCAGCTATTTCCAGATGCTTTTTGGTAAAACATCTGGAACCAAAACTAAAGCTTAAAAAATCAATTATAATCTATGCAGTTTTGTGCGCTACACCGGTCATACATAAGCGTACACTTAGGAAGTGGACGTATATTTGGCCTGCTACTATTTCAAATGACCCCTATATAACGTATTTTGGGTCACAAATGGCGAATCCAAAGTGTAGTAGTACGGATATATGTTGCAAATCTACTGTAGATATCTCGCGACCCCCGTAAAGCTAAATAACCCACCGGCCGATGGATCAGTCGTTTATCTATCAGCTGTGGGCGCATATGTCGGAGCAGCCGGTCGGCCTTCCGGCGTCTGCCCTTTGGATTTTGACTGGTGAGGGTGTACCCTGGCACATGCCATCGATTTCGAACGTGGTGGAATAATGGTAGACAGTAGACACCTGCCGATAATCGGACAGTTGCGATACGTGGAAAATAAAATTTAAGCGGCTGGTTAGTTAGTTATATTCTAGCATCACGTTTCCAACGGTGTGAAATGACTGAGGATGCGCTGTGTAGAAAATATGTCCAATCAAAAGTAAAATCTATATTTTAAATTTCCGGTTTGAACAAATTCTTCATCACCTCCGATCAGATAACAGGTAACCTACCACTTGATACCCCCATTGCCTGATATTAGATTTTTTTCTGATGCTTCATGCATCTTCTATCTAAATTTCTTTTAATCCTGGGCACACATTTGAAATTTCCCCGTATTTCCCGATCACCTGCGATCGGGCCCTTCTACTCTTTACCCCCTTATTCCCTCTGGCCGATCTTGGCATTTTTTTCTGATCCTTCATGCATCTTTCTGAATTTATTTCAATCTCGGGCCCACATTTCAAATTTCCCGATATTTCCCGATTTTCTCTGATCGGGTAACCGACAATCTACCACTTGTTACCAACTTATTCCCTATTGGCCGATCTCTGCATTTTTTTTCTGATCCTTCATGCATCTTTCTGAATTTCTTTCAGTCTCGGGCCCACATTTCAAATTTCCCGATATTTCCCATCGGGTCACCGACAATCTACCACTTGTTACCAACTTATTGCCTATTGGCCGATGTCTGCATGTTTTTTCTGATCCTTCATGCATCTTTCTGAATTTCTTTCAATCTCGGGCCCACATTTCAAATTTCCCGATATTTCCCGATTTTCTCTGATCGGGTAACCGACAATCTACCACTTGCTATCCACTTATTCCCTATTGGCTGATCTTGACAATTTTTTCTGATCCTTCATGCATCTTCTATCTGAAGTTTTCCTGGAACGACATTTCAAATTCCCCAATGTTCACCCCTCTTGTACCTTGCCGGAATTTTGTCGAATGGCCCATTTCAAATTTCCTGATATCTTCCGGTCATCTCCAATCAGGTCCCCGACAGGGTATCACCGCTCATCCCCTATTGGCTGATATTAGCAGTTTTTTCTGATCCTTCAGGTTCTTTCTGTTTGAGTTTCTTTCAATCCTGGGTGTAAATTTCAAATTCCCCGAAATTTCCCTATCACCTTCCACTTGTTACCCTATTGGCCGATTTGAGCATTTTTTTTCTGATCTTCCAAGCACCTGGTCTGAATTTCCTCGAGTCCTGGTCACACATTTAAAATTCTCCGATATTTCCTGATGGTCTCCAATCTGATCACTAGAAAACTTCCACTTTTTGCGTGGTTATTCCCTATGCATTTTTTCTGATCCGTCATGTATTTTATGTCAGAATCTCCTTTAATTCCGGGCCCATATCTCAAATTCCCCTATAATCTCAATCACCTTCGATCAGGTCACCGGCAACCTTCCACTTATTCCATATTGGCCAATTATGGCAATTTTTTCTCATCCGTCATGTTTTTTCTGTCAGAATCTCCTTTAATTTCAAACCCTCATCTCAAATTGCCCTATATTCTCAATCACCTTCGATCAGGTCACCGACAACCTTCCACTTTTCACCCTGTTATTCTCTATTGGCCGTCCTCAGCAGTTTTTTCTGATCTTACATCCACCGGGCCCATATTACAAAAATCCCGATATTTCCCGAGCTTTTTCGATCAGTTTACCGACAACCTTCCACTTTTTACCCAGTTATTCTCTATTGGCCGTACTCAGCAGATTCTTCTGATCTTTCATCCACCGGGACAACATTACAAAAATCCCGATATTTACGGAACTTTTTCGCTCAGTTCACCGGCAACCTTCCACTTATTCCCTGTTGGCCAATTATAGCAATTTTTTCTGATCCGCCATGTATTTTGTCAGAATCTCCTTTAATTCCGGGCCCATATTTGAAATTCCCCTATATTCCCAATCACCTTCGATCAGGACACCGACATCCTTCCACTTTTTACCCAGTTATTCCCTATTGGCCGTACTCAGCAGTTTTTTCTGATCTTTCATCCACTGGGCCCACATTACAAAAATCCCGATATTTCCCGAGCTTTTTCAATCAGTTCATCGGGAACCTTCGATTTATTCACTATTGGCCAATTATAGCAATTTTTTCTGATCCGTCATGTATTTTCTATCAGAATCTCCTTTAATTTCGGGCCCACATCCCAAATTCCCCTATAATCTCAATCACCTTCGATCAGGTCACCGACAACCTTCCATCCACCGGGCCCACATTACAAAAATTCCGATATTTCCAGAGCTTTTTCGATCAGTCCACCGGAAACCTTCCACTTATTCCATATTGGCCAATTATAGCAATTTTTTCTGATCCGTCATGTATTTTCTGTCAGAATCTCCTTTAATTTCAGACCCTCATCTCTAATTCCCCTATATTCTCAATCACCTTCGATCAGGTCACCGACAACCTTCCACTTTTTACCCAGTTATTCCCTATCGACCGTACTCAGCAGATTCTTCTGATCTTTCATCCACCGGGCCCACATTACAAAAATCCCGATATTTACGGAACTTTTTCGATCAGTTCACCGGCAACCTTCCACTTATTCACAATTGGCCAATTATAGCAATTTTTCTGATCCGTCATGTATTTTCTAGCAGAATCTCCTTTAATTTCGGGCCCATATCCCAAATTCCCCTATAATCTCAATCACGTTCGATCAGGTCACCGACAACCTTCCACTGTTTACCCAATTATTCCTTATTGGCCGATCCCAGCAATTTTTTTCTGATCCTTCATTCACCGGGCCCACATTACAAAGATCCCAATATTTTCCGAGCTTTTTCGATCAGTTCACCGGCAACCTTCCACTTTATACCCAGTTATTCTCTATTGGCCGTACTCAGCAGTTTTTTCTGATCCTTCATCCACCGAGCCCACATTACAAAATCCCGATATTTCCCGAGATTTTTTGATCAGTCCACCGGAAACCTTCCACGTAGTCCCTATTGGCCAATTATAGCAATTTTTTCTGATCCGTCATGTATTTTCTATCAGAAGCTCCTTAAATTTCGGACCCACATCCCAAATTCCCCTATAATCTCAGTCAGCTTAGATCAGGTCACCGACAACCTTCCACTTTTTACCCACTTCTTCCCTTTTGGCCAATCTCAGCAATTTTTTTCCTGATCCTCATCCACTTGGGCCGACATTCCAAATTTCCCGATCGCCTCCGATCGGGTCACCGACAACCTACCACTTGTTACCCACTTATTCCCTATTGGCCGATCGCTGCACGCGGCGACGGCGACCCCGCGACGCTCGCCGCGACGTTCAAATGTTTCAGCAGTCGGCAACCGACGCTCGCTTGTTTCAAGGCCTACTGCACGCGCGATATCGGCGCGACGCGCGACATCAATAGATGGGTGTCGAGGTGCGGAAGATGTGAAAGTGTGGATGGTTGTTTTCTTTTTGGTTTTGATTGTGAGTGACATGAGGACCCTTGCGGAATCGGAGAGGAACACGTTGCCTAGGGGATGGGTCAGGCAAGCCGTGATGGGGGTGTTAAGGTGGAAAGACGTGCCTGCGGCTCAACCGGCGCCTCAACAGCATCATACTAGGATTGAGGTCGGATACAAGAGCAACAATATTGGGATTATACAGGTAATTCGTTGTAATATATCAATCCTTCTCACCGTCTCATTGATGGTGGCCTAGTTTTAACAGGAGGCCGTGGAAGGACTGGATTTAGTATGAACATACCTCTTGAATGAAATAGATGCTAGGGAAAAACATAGTTATTTGTCGGGAAGCAATCTCGATCTCCAACCTCTTTAGTCTTTACAAAGACCGAGTAAAACGCGGCCTGGAAGCCTGGATTACTCCCATCACATGTTGAGGATATGTCGATATCAATGTCTTCCCAGACGAGGGCAATCTTAAGAATCCAACTGAACAGCGTTGTACATGGTTGGTTGTATTATTAGTTATTAGTCACTGAATTTATGGCAGAAGTTGGCACTCTTTCCTTAAGCTTTGCCAAGTTCATGAAGTTATGTTCCGCACAAGTTAGGCGTTCAGCGAAAGACAGTTAGTTACGAA